GTTTTGGGTGTTTTATAAGTTTTATAAATGGAAACCTTTTTAAACTACTTAGAGATATTTTCACGCATCTTGAAAAGAGTTTCTCATTAAGAGTGTCGATGTTGAGAAGGTGCCACTTTGGCAAATTGTTCGGGACGCCACGTCATCCTGTATACTTGCAAAGTCAAATTTGGTAGTATGTGAGTCAGCACGTGGAAGAATTCACGTGTCGCAAGGGTAAAAATGTACCGGTATTTCAATTTTCACTATAATATATTGCAATTGTGAAACTATACTTAGGCTGACTTGCAAAGGCAGCGTTATCATTTCATACGGATGTTGATCGCGGAGAGGGTTGCTTTGTTGGTGAGCACATGGATGCGATACAGCGCTAGCGTCAAGTCGGTTGCCGGCAGGAACTCGAGCTTAACTTTGGTGCAAAAGGTGCGAAACCTTTGCCAATAAGGTTGGTACGTATCGATTGTAGATGGTGCACGAACGTGGCTAATTACTTGCATCAATTGTTGCTGTAGTTTGGTCAAAAGTCATGACATGACACATTGAGAATTTTTTATTAGACCGCATAGTTTACACGCAAAGCAATGATTGGGCTATGAGGCAATCCGAGCCCAGAGAATGCAGCGGTGTGTGAACCTGCCCTAAGGCATTGACTGCCCTGGGCAAGAGAGAGGTGCTCTACTACTGCCGGAGCCCACGATTGAGTGGACGGTTGGAGAAGCGGCCACCATGACGCTCCGGTCTACTGGGGAGCAACGAGCATAAGTTCGGTCTGCGTCAGTTCCGCATGGCGGAGTGTAGCGGGAATTAAGTGTGGAGGCGGGAAGGCAAAGCATCGCTCGCCTTTCCACGAGATGGAAAATGCGTCAACAGCGAACGCGTCTTGGTGCGATATCTTAGAGCAGAAGCGTTGAACGTGATTGTTTCGAACGTTAGCAAAGAGATCAATTGTGTGGGGCCCCCAGCGACGTTCGAAGAGGCGAAACCAAGGTGCGTGTAGGGAGTAGTCATCAAAGTCTTGCATCTTGGATAGGTCATCCGCATGGGCGTTGAGCTCTCTCGGAATCCATTCGATCGCGAGGCGTGTTGTGTTGCTGAGGCAGAACTGGATGATCGCTTGGCATGTCAACGTAAGATCCGCCTGACGGGATCCCCCCTTGCGCAAGATAAACATGACTGCCTGGTTGTCGACCCGGACGAGGACGTGAGCTCCCACGATCCGAGTTGCGAACGTCCGCAGTGCCCAGAGCACTCCTTCGAGCTCTCGCCGCGTACTGGATGTGGTGATAAGCCCTCGTGGCATGCACTCGTTAGCTTCGCATGATGTACTTGGGAACTTGGCCAAGGTGGCACCCCAGTTGTGTGCGCTTGCGTCAACGTGTATCACGACATCAAAACGCTGACTTTGGTGGAATGGGGCGCCATTGAAACGATCGAAGTGCATTGTCCAAAACAGCAGCTCCTCTGTCGCTCCTGGCGACAATAGAACCTTTGAGTTCCATGACCACGCGGAGTCGATCAAGTGCAGCAGCTCATGGCTGAAGGCACGCGCCGTCGTGCCCAGCGCGAGCGACATGGAGCTGAGAAATCCAGTGATCCGGGCTATCTTGCGAATCGGCACGTGGCGACCCGATTGCCCTTTTTGTATAAGTAGGTGGAGCTCCTGCAGTAGTTGTTCGCGCCGATCTTTTCCGACGAGGAACATCCCTCGTTCCGTGTCAAGCTCCATCCCCAAAAAACGCAAGTGGTGTGCGGGATGCAGGTGGGATTTCTTAGAATTTATCATGAATCCTGCCGCCTTCAGGTCATGGAGAACTTCGATGCACGTCGAGCGGGCTTGCGCCTCGGAGTCGCAGAGGAATAGTAGATCGTCCACGTACGGTATAACGCGCACTCCGCGCGCGCGCCATCTCTTGGCTAGTTGCTTAATAAGCTGGGTGAAGATGAACGGGGCTGTTGCCAGGCCGAAAGGTAAGGATGTGAAGCAATATAACTTTCCACCCAATTGAAAGCCCAAGAACTTCCAGCACGACGGGTGGATGTCAACGTGGTGGTAGCCGGACTTGAGATCGATAGTGAACATCCAGTCGTTTGGGCGAATGATCCCGCGACCCGACTCAATCCCTCGTACTTGAACTTGGGAACTTGGAGGTGAGCGTTGACCTTCCGCAGGTCAAGGATAAGCCGACATTTGTCTCGTCGCTCCACAACATTGAGCGGGCTGATGCACGTAAGTGCGGCTTTCGACGAGACATACATCGCGGCGCCTGACGCGATGAGGTCGCTGACAGCGTCTTGGGTGAATGCCATGTGTGCTTGAACCCCTGCATGATAGGGAACTACGAAGGGGAGAGGCTCCGCGCCCTTCCATGGTAGCCAGTACCCTTTGGCAATGATGGAAAGGATAAGACTGGTGTCGCACCATGATAGCCACCAGTGGAGGCTGTTGCACAATCACATTCGCATGAGGGACACCATGTTGTCCGTTATTGCGTGCTCGTATGGGTCCCAGTGCGCACTCTGCCACTCGCCTTCAACTTCTGCCATTGGTGGGAATCGAGGTTGCGGGGGGGGGGGAACGAGGATCAAGGTCGATTAGCCGCGAGATATTGCGAGACGCTTTGCGGGGTAAACTATGTCGCTCAACTTCTACCGCCTTCGCGCCTCCCCGCACCCCCGGTTTTTTTTTTTTTTTTTTTTTTTTAAGATTGCCGTACAACGAGATCGGCGCATGTGCGTCACTTGGCCCCATGACCCTGTTCATCACGATGTCTTCGTGCCTTCCCTCTCTCTCTCTCTCGCTCTCTCTCTCTCTCTCTCTCTCTCTCTCTCTCTCTCTCCATCTATCTCTCGCTCTCTCTCTCTCCCTCTCTCCCCTTCTCTCTTTCTATTCCTTCCTCTCTATTTAGCCTCTCCCTCATGCCATTTTTTTTTTTTTTCTCCTTCTTTGTGCTTCTCTCGGTCCTTGCCTTCCTCAAGAGGGGGCTGCATGTTTGACTTGGCGTGCCATTTGGCTTCCCTCTTCGTGTTGTCTCTCTTTCTCCTTTTTTTTTTTTTTTTTTTTTTAATAACAATATTGTTTTATTGATCCACACAAAGGCATACAAGCCTAGCCTACACCATAGCCAACCCCTACGGCTGCTATCTTGTCTTGGCCCCCATGGCCTATGCTACTCTCCAAGGCTTCTAACCAGCCTACGCACCACCGGTGCATCCACCTACGCCCCCCGGCATAGTGGCAAGGGGCGCCGCCCCATGGGTCCTCTCACACCACGGGTGCGGGACCTTGTGCGCCACGCCCTCCCATAGGGCAATTGTTTGCCATATGGCCGGGCTGGCCGCAACGGAAACACACGCCCTTGAAGCGAGGCTCGTGGCAGCCCGCGGGCGGCATGCCTTTGCTTTCCGGTTCGCCGTCTCGAGGGGGAAGACGGCCTCCGCGGGCGAAGCCGGTACGTGCACGCTTGAGGGCCGCCACGTCGGCTACCGCAAGCTTGTAAGAGCGGGAAGTGAGCACACTCTTGGCTTGGTACAGCTGGAACCGATCCGCCGCTTTGAAACCGGCCTCATCCGCCACCAAGAGCACCTCAAAACGTTTGTTGATCAATGTTTCGACTTGCTCCACGTTGGAGAGCGCGCCCTCGACGTCGCCGTGTTGGAGCTTGAACTCGACGTGCCTCAAGTGAGCTTGAATTGCAGAGAACACCTCCGCCTGGTCACGCACTCCCTTGCGCATGAAGGTAGTAGCTGCGAGTGAAGGGTTGAGGGGGGGAAGGGGAGGAGCGGGTGCGAGAATGCGACGACGGGCAAGGTTTTCGGGGGCCTCACCATCTTCATTTTCAGAGTCGTCGCTGTCGTCGAGGATACGGGCTTGGGTTGGTGCCGGAGCCGGGGCGGGAGCAGGAGCAGCGTTGTTGGTGCAAGCGATTTTGGTGGAGCGGGGAGCCGCAACAGGTTCCTTCTGCTTTTCAACTTTAGCGGACGCGGAAATTTCTTCGGTTGATGTAGCTGCAGTCGATGGTGCGTGCTGCTGCAATAACGAGAGCAGCGCCTGCAGCTGCTGCGCAGTCAAAGGGGGGGGAGGGGCGTTGACAAGGGTGACGTCAGCGGAGGGTGCCGCGCGCTTGCGTTTCTGGGTCGTGGGCCCGGATGGACCCGCGTCAGCGGCGGTCGTTGTCTTCTGCGCAGCACGCGCATGCCTGCCAGGCACGCGCTCTTCAGCAGCAGTCACGCGCGACTGTTGTACAGTCGCGCGTTCCTCAGGGGGGGTCCGAAGGGTGCCTCCGAGCAGGAGGTCGACCGCCGAGGGTCCCTCGCTTGAAATTTCGTCGACGGGACGTTTTCCGCCGCGACGATCTGTTGTCCCGGCCGGAGTCGAGGTTTCCTCCGCGTTACCAGGGCTAGAAATATTCGAATTGTCGCGGTGAAGTGCCGGGTTGACCGGAGCCATTGTTGCGAGGTTGCGCTTAAGGATGTCGTTAAGGAGCGTTGACGGGGCAGTGAAGCGCGGAAGCGACTGAGTCTTCGCCAGTGTGGACGAGAACGAAATGAGAACTACAATTTTGAGAATGAAAACGTGGGTGGGGACGACTGTCCCCACGTCCCTCTTTTGTAGGCAAAAGAGGGTGAGTAGCGCTTCGGCGCTACCTTTGTTGTGTTGGCCACGTACCCCTTTTCACAAAACAAATTTTTAGAAAGTGTTACATTTCATTACACTTTCAAGAATTATAATGTTTTGGATTCTTAGACACATATGTCTTATCTCGTACACACAAATAGATGTTGCATAAAAAGGCTAGCCTGTTTATAAGAGACACCCGTCTACTATTCAACACTGTCTTATATCCGGGCGATGACGGCATTATCGCCAAGATGTGGCTAAACCACACTCGACGGACATAAAACAACAATCAATAATTACACAGGCAATGGATTCCACCAACTATGGTATGTGCATTCAGTGTATTTGTTTTGTGCACAATGTCTTGCTCATCAGTGCATACCTAGCATCCCCGCCCTGACCACCATTTAATGATGCGCATCATCTCACTCCCTGGAAACCGGCCCAGGTTCCCCTTGGCCGCCGCAGATTCACTGAACCTGGACACACCATCCCCGGCCACAGAACCAGCCACCCCTCGCACCGTCTTCACTCCTTCTTCCACTCCTCCTTCCCCCTTTCTATCCCTCACTCCACCGATTGCCCCAGCGACACCCTCTGCAGCCACAGTGGCTGCGGTGGGGATGGGGAAGGGGCTCAGATCTGTACCCAGTACAGCAGCCTCGCCTCCTGGCACTGTGTGGATGAAGTCAGAGAGGTCACAGATGGCTAGAGGAACTGGCTCCTCTGTGTGGTCGCCGTATAGAATGGGCGTGGAGTGATCGCCTGTCACACACAGGCAGAACCTTGGCCGATGCTCCCACCGCTGCTGCTGCTTCTCGTGTTCCTCCTGATTACCCCCCTGCTGCTGCTCTTCTTCCTGCCCCCCCTCTCTCTGCACCAGCCACAGGCGGTGCGCCAGCTGGCCCACCATGCGATCAACGGCCTCCAGCGCGCGCACCTTGAGATCAATGGCCTTGTCGTGCCCGGCATCGTCCACTGCCTTGATGTGCAGAAAAGCAAACTCGTACCCCTCAGGGCATCCTTCCCTCGGATCATCTTCCCCAGGAACCGAAATCAACGGTGCAGATCGACCGATCGGAGCAATCGGATTGATCTGACCGTTCTGGTCGGTTCGGTCAGTTGGTTCGGGCTTGGCTGGAGCAGGATGGGGAGGTAAGGTGGACAGGGCGGCAGCTACGGCCTCAGCTTTGGAGGCGAGGCAGGTTCGGTAGTCGCCCGTGGCTGCAGGTACGTGCAGGATGTCAATTCCGAGGCTGAGTCCCAGGCCTGCGATGATCTTGGTTGGGGCCACCATGCAGGCTCGCATACCGTGCCTCTCCTTAAATGACGGCACCTGGAGGTGCGTGTGGGGTTGGAGTGTTGGAGAGTTGGAGTGGGGCAGAAAGAGCAGTTCAGTACTTTACACAGAGGCTTGGGAGGCTGAAAGTCCCAGGCCTGCAATGATCTTGGTTGGGGCACAATTCAAGCGCGCATGCCATGCCTCTCCTTGAACGAAGGGACCTGGAGGTGGGAGTGGAGGTGGGAGTGGAGGTGGGAGCGGAGGTGGGAGTGGAGGTGGGAGCGGAGGTGGGAGTGGAGCAGAAAGATCATTTCGAGATTTTACGATGAAGCTTGGGACACTTTTTCATCAAGGAGGGCATCTGAGGACATCCTTGAATGTGGGTACCCACAATGAATGTGTTGGTTGCGAATGAGAAGGCCGGGCATCGTAGGTGGTGCAATGTGCTAGTCCTGTATTTGCCATGCCTTCAACACGTAGATCTTGCACACATGTAGTCATGTAGATCCTCTTCCCTGTAAGCAAGTGTGTCTGAACAGGGGTAAGTGTCCAGTTGCCTATAACCACCAAAGTGATTGCCACCTCTCCTTCCTGTCCCCTTTCCCCTCAATCCCTCACCTCCAGGCCCACACTCTCCTCTCCTTTCAACCCCTCACCTCAATTCGGATCCCGCAGCCTCTCAGAAGAACCACGTTTGCCACATTCTTTCCCTGCGCTGCCCGCTGCGCGTTGATTGGATGATTTTTCAATTCTGCCCGAATCGCATCGCTCAGAGCGTTCACCACACGAGCCGTCAGGTCTGCCTCCGGGCTGTCGTCCAATGGCGTCGCGACACCTAGCGCCCGCCCGTCCTTCAGAGGGTCGGTGCCACCGATCCTGTCAGACAGACCCGGGCCCCGAACCACCACGCCGCACCTGTGCTCTGTGGCATATCTGGGGTGTGTTTCAGGGGGGAGCCGGTGGGAGTGGGAGGGGAACGGTCACAAGAAAAAAAACAACAGGTGAAAAAAGGGTGGGTACAGAAAAAAAAAGTGTGGGTCCAGTGACTTGGGAGACAAGCAGTTAAGGGGCATCTCAAAATTGGACAAACACGGAACATAGGGAAAAAAATGCCCTGTTTTGTTCTCTGACTCTATTGTGGGCCGTACGTACTTGATGCTGACTTGGTAGTCCGGGAATCCAGGGATCTTGAGGCCGTCCAGGTGGCGGCACAGGATTGGCCCCTCCTCCTCAAAGTGCCGATCCGCCCGGCGCTTCACCACGATCCCCGTTGCCTCGTCCAACACTGCGAAGTTGCTCTGTGCGGATGTGGGGAGAGGGCGCAGGGAAGAGGGAAGGGGGCGGAGGGGGGGGGTGGTGCAGAGGTGGAGAGCAGCGAGGCAATGATGCGCTCGGCGCTTCACCACGATCCCCGTTGCCTCGTCCAACACTGCGAAGTTGCGTGGAAAGAGAAGGACGAGTATAGGAGGGTAGTAAGAGGAGGGAAGTGGTGAGGAGCCCGGGGCTTCACCACCATCCCCGTTTGCCCCGGTGTTTGTCCAACACTGCGGCGTTGCTCTGTGGAGGAATGGGTGCGGGAGAGGTGAAGAGTGAAGCATGGGAACGGGAGAGGTGAAGAGCGAAGCATGGGTGCGGGAGAGGTGAAGAGCGAAGCATGGGAACGGGAGAGGAGAAGAGCGAAGCATGGGAACGGGAGAGGTGAAGAGCGAAGCATGGGTGCGGGAGAGGTGAAGAGCGAAGCATGGGAACGGGAGAGGTGAAGAGCGAAGCATGGGAACGGGAGAGGTGAAGAGCGAAGCATGGAAACAGGAGAGGAGAAGAGCGAAGCATGGGAACGGGAGAGGTGAAGAGCGAAGCATGGGTGCGGGAGTGCAGGAAGGGGAGGAGGCATTAGCTGCCTGGCGTTTCCCAATGATCCCCGTTGTGAGAGTATGGGGAGGGTAGAGGCAAAGAGGCACAGGAGTGCCTCTACCAGGCTGCATAGGAATCCCGGCTTCGATGTGTTTTGAAGTAGTGTTTAGAGACGTCTCAGAACACTATGTCAAACACAGCTATGTTGAGTTCACTTTTGAGAATTCTAAATAATAAACTCAACACCACTTCAAACACAGGGTAGAGGCAAAGAGGCACAGGAGTACATCTGCCTGCCAGGTCAGGTTGCATAGGAGTCTCGGCGTCAATGTACTCGTTAAAAGTATACTCGCTACTAGCAAACTCACTAAGCGTTTTACCCACCTTGCACGCGACGTCCCCACGCAGGCTGCATGGGGCTCCTGACTCCATGAACTCGTTTGTAGCAACTAGCGTACTCGTTTGTAGCAACTAGCGTACTCGTTTGTAGCAACTAGCGTACTCGTTTGAAGCATGTTACCCACCTTGAACGCAATGTCCCCAGGCTGCATGGGAATCCCAGCACCCATGGACTCAAGCGCCGCTCAGCCCCCTGTAGAGCTGGTTCGAAGCAATGTACCAACCACCCAACATAGCACACTCGTTTACACCGCATTACCCACCCACCTTGAATGCAATGTCCCCAGGCTGCACGGGGATGCGAGCTCCCATGGACTCAAACGCCCCTCGCCCCCTGTAGTGCTGGTTTGTGACATTGTACCGCCCACCCAACATCGCATACTCGTTTGAAACATAACAGCATACCCGTTTGAAGCATACCACCCACCTTGAAAGCGATGTCGCCAGGTTGCATGGGAATCCCGGCTCCCATGGACTCGAACGCCCCCCGCCCCCTGTAGTGGTGGCGGGGGTTGTAACCCAGCAGCGAGAGATGCGCCGTGTCACTGCAAGGGGAGGGGGGGGGTGTGCATGGGTGCATGGGGCAGAGGGTTAGGGGGGAGGGGTTTTCAGCGCGCTTATGTGCTCGCCCCCTGTAGTGCTGGCGGGGGTTGTAACCCAGCAGAGAGAGATGCGCCGAGTCACTGCGGGCAGGCAGGGGAGAGGGGGGAGAGGAGGGAGAGGAGGGAGAGGAGGGAGAGGGGGGAGAGGAGGGAGAGGAGGGAGAGGGGGGAGAGGAGGGAGAGGGGGGAGAGGAGGGAGAGGGGAGTGTGGTGAGGCGAATCAGGGGAAGGGAATGTGCGGCGGGCGGTGAGGGATGTTGCAGGTAACCCCGCCCGTGCAGTTTTGAGACGTCTCAAAACATCACCTTTTTCACCCCGCCCATGCAGAGGTGTGCCGTGTCACTGCTGGAGGGGGGAGTGGCGGGACGTGTGGGGAAGGGGGAAGTCCAGTGGGGAGACGGAGAATACACAGTGGGGAAAACGGGGAGCCTCAGGGGGGATAGGACGGGGGAGACTCAGGGGGGATAGGACGGGGGGTGACTCAGGGGGGATAGGACGGGGGGATATGACGGGGTGATAAGGGATGAGACAGGGACCTGGGCCGCTATTTCCTCACTGCATGCTCCGTTCCCCTCTTGCCCCACTCGCGACACTTATCCGAGCCCTTCTCCCCCTTCCTCCCGCCTTTCCTCCTTTCCTGCCCCCCTGCCCCCCCCCCACTCCTGGCCCCCCTGCCCCCCTGTCCCCTGCCCCTATCCACCCACTCTCCCCCATCCCCTTCCCCCACTTCTTCCCCACCCCCTTTCCCTGTCTGTAAGTCAAATTAAGTCTCCCCCGTCGCTCCAACAATCCCAGCCGTCGATTCGTACCTGCCGCACGCCAGCCCGGGTTCTACAGGGTCCATCAGGCCGTTGACTCCCGCCGCCGCGATTGCGTCCAGATTCGGCGTATGTGCCGCCTCGAGCGGCGTCCGGCCGCCCAACGACGGCACCGCCACGTCACCGATTCCGTCAATCAATACGAACGCGACGCGGGTGGTGACGCTCTGCGGGACTGAGGAATAAGTTGCGCTTGGCGAGCGACTCGAGGCTGGAGGGTTGCCGCCAGCCATGTCGGATCGCGGAATCGGCTCGTCTGACACCATGGGGACGAGGTGACTTTTGAGTCGACTTAAAAATCACCTTGAGGACGACGGTTGCGGGGAGAACGGCTGGGAAAAGTTGATGAACCGACTCGGAATTTGTTTTGATAAGTGTGTCGTAAAGCAAAGGTTGCACGATAGAACGGACTTAAATGCTCCTCCTGGTTCGGCCAACCTACGCGTCGCGCCACGCGGCAAGATTCTCGCAACCCACCTGAGCCTTTCAACAATCCGCACACGGAAATTCGTAGTGCGGCAAGTCACAATGGGTATGGTGATGCTGCTGTCATTTAGCTTTTGCCATTCTCGTTATTAACATGTGAACCAGCTCTTGTATTCCGTGTACAGAAATTAGATTTCTGGCATCTTGGCGTTCATACAATTTGGAGGAAGACGTAAAACGAGAGTGGTACTGTAACGAGAATTATGTGACTCTGACAGTGTCGGAAAAAACAAGGCTCGACGATGAACGTCGTAAGGGTTGCGTAGAATATGAATACCGGTACTTAAGATAACGCAACAAAGATGTATATTTTTTTTTTCAAATCCACTTACGTTTATCTGTACCTTTCTCCCACCCTCTTAAGTCGTTTTGTATTATACGTATTGCATTTCGTCTCTATCTACACCGAATGCCCAATCATGAGGGTTTTGACGGAAGAATATAAGCATGTACTTCGTGGTTACTTACGGTGTAGAGAAATGATTTAGGACTAATATGGGGTATGTGGGTTTCGTTTTCACTTTCGCCGCGTTTTGTTGAGCTGACGAAAATGCTGATGCGTTTTAGTGTATCAGCTGAGTCAGCTGAATTTCACGTGCTCGTACATGCTGGAACGTAACGCGCTGAAGCTGGCGCTGGTTCTACATATTGTTGCTCCAAAGCGCATGTTTCTTGCTCAACGTTTCTTGCTCCATCGATGCCCACTATCGCGATGAGGTCGAACTGTCTGAACTTATAGCTTACTTGTTTCTGTAGGCTATAGTGGGGTATCCCATAGGGGGTACAACCCAATTAGGGTTTCCTATTTGTACTCACTTCGTTCATAGTCATTCCATCCTCGTTCTTTGTTTCCACATGGTATCAGAGCAGGTTCCCTCCTAGGGACTGCTTCTAGGGCCCACCGAACCGCGCCCCGAGGCGCGTTTTTTTTTTAGCGACCCGTCGTGTCGCCCCTAGCGGACCGTTACGCCGCCCTTCCCCTCGCGGCTCCGCCGCCCTTCCCTAGCGGCCCCGCCGCCCTTCGATCGCGGCCCCGCCGCCCTCTGCTACGCGGCCCCGCCGCCGCCCTTCGATCGCGGCCCCGCCGCCCTCGGCTACGCGGCCCCGCCGCCCTCTGCCTCGCGGCCCCGCCGCCCTCTGCTACGCGGCCCCGCCGCCCTCTGCTACGCGGCCCTGCCGCCCTCTGCTACGCGGCCCCGCCGCCCTTCGATCGCGGCCCCGCCGCCCTTTGCCACGCGGCCCCGCCGCCCTCTACTACGCGGCCCCGCCGCCCTCTGCTACGCGGCCCCGCCGCCCTTCGATCGCGGCCCCGCCGCCCTCTGCTACGCGGCCTCGCCGCCCTCTGCTACGCGGCCCCGCCGCCCCCTGCTACGCGGCCCCGCCGCTCTCTTCGGTCGCGGCCCCGCCGCCCTCTGCTAAGCGGCCCCGCCGCTCTCTTCGGTCGCGGCCCCGCCGCCACTCTGCTACGCGGCCCCGCCGATCCGCCCAGCAGCAGCCGCCGCCGCCTGAGCCGCCGCCGAGCCGCCGCCGAGCCGCCGCCGAGCCGCCGCCGAGCCGCCGCCCGAGCCGCCGCCGAGCCGCCAGAGCCGCCGCCGAGCCGCCCGTGGCGCCCGAGCCGCCCGCGCCGCCCAGCAGCAGCCGAGCCGCCGCCGAGCCGCCGCCGCCTGAGCCGCCGCCGAGCCGCCGCCGAGCCGCCGCCGAACCGCCGCCGAGCCGCCGCCCGAGCCGCCGCCGAGCCGCCCGCGCCGCCCGAGCCGCCTGCGGAGCCGTGCTGCTGTTCCTCTGCTGCTGACCTACCCGCCTCTCCCAGCCCGGTGAGATTTTCAGCTGCTGTCATGGCCACCCCCAATGTTCTTACCTTTGACGCTGAGGGGAGGGCCATTGACTTTGCCGTCTGGATTGAAGACCTGCAGCTGTACTTACTGTGTGATGCGATAGATGAGGTCTCTCTCTTTGACTTTGTCTCTGGCGCTGTCCCTGCCCCACCTGCTGATGCTGACTCTGCCGTTCGCTCCAAGTGGGCGACCCGCGATGCTGCTGCACGTCTTGCTGTGCGTCGCCACCTCCCTTCCTCTGAGCGTGCCCACTTTAGTCAGTGCAAGACCGCTCAGGCCTTGTACGACGCTGTAGTTGCACGCTACTCCTCCCCTTCCTCCGCTACCCTTAGCCGCCTCATGCTACCGTTTCTCTTCCCTGACCTCGCTTCCTTTCCCACTGTCGCTGACCTCGTTACCCACCTCCGTGCTAGTGACACCCGCTACCGCGCTGCCCTTCCTGCTGAGTTCCGCGCTGCGAATCCTCCTCCCATGTACATCACTCTCTACTTTCTCGTCACCCGTCTCCCTGAGTCCCTTCGTGTCGTTAGGGACCAGTTTCTCTCTGTCTGTCCCACCACTCTCACTGTCGACCTCCTTGAGGAGTCCCTGCTAGCGGCTGAGAAGAGTATTGTCGCTGTAGGGGCCTCTCGGGGTGACCCTCGCACCCCTATCTTTGAGGGGTGTGGTCCTTCCCCCCTGCTGCCCTCTGTCGCCTCTGCCGCTGCGGCCGACCTCACTGGTTTTGAGTCGGTCGGCGCGGCGTCTGCCCCCAGCGGCAGACGCCGCGCTGGCAAGGGCAAGGGGGGCAAGGGAGCGGGTGGAGCTAGAGGGGGCGGTGGAGGAGGCGGTGGGGGTGGCGGGGGGAGTGGGGGTGGCGGTGGGGGTGGTGGCGGGAGTGGAGGTACTGGTGGCGGCGGTGGAGGCGGAGGTGGCGGCGGAGGTGGTAGCGGAGGAGGCGGTGGGAGCGGTGGGAGCGACGGTCCTGGTGGGGGAGGTGGAGGTGGAGACGGGGGTGGCAGTGGAGGCGGGGGTCGGAGTGGCTCGTCCCAGCGGAGCAGCTCCGGGGGTGGTCAGCGCCAGCAGCAGCAGCAGCAGCAGCCGCAGCAGCAGCCACAGCAGCAGCAGCGCTCTCGCACCGTCCCCGCCCCTCAGCAGCTCCGTGAGTGGTACTCGCAGCGTCAGCGTGGTGGTGCGCTTGGTCCTTGCCCCTACGTTCTCCGCACCGGTGACCGTGCAGGGGAGAGGTGTGGAGGCGCCCACACTGCCCGCCGCTGCTTTGGCCGCCTGACTGACGCCTGGCGTCAGCAGTTTCCGGAGGCAGCTGAGATCCCCCGCTGGGGAGAGCTGTCTAGGGCTGGTGTAGCTATTTATGATCTTGATTTTGATGCTATTCTCTCTGCTATGTATGCTGCGATTGGTAGTGATGAGGATGACTGTTACCGGTGTTTCCCGCCCGACCCGGGCATTGGTACTGCCGCGTCAGGTACTAGTGAGGCTGCTGCTCTAGGTGCCAGTGCGTCTGTGCTCTCAGGTGCTGGTGAGTCTGCCCTCTCAGGTACTGTGTCGGCTTCGGCCTCTCACACCTTCACTCTTGACTCTGGAGCGTCTCGCTCCTTCTTTCGGGACCGCACCACTCTCACGCCGCTGAGTCGGCCGGTTGCGGTGTCCCTGGCTGACCCCTCTGGGGGGCCTGTCCTGTCTCGCTTCTCCACTGTCCTCCCGTGTCCGGCGGCCCCCTCTGGCACCCTGACTGGTCTCTACCTCCCCTCGTTCTCGACGAACTTGGTGAGTGGTGCTGACCTCCAGGATGCGGGTGTCCACCAGTTCACCCCTGCTCGTCAGCGGGTGACCCACTGCACGGAGGCGGATACAGGTCGCCACCTGGCTACGTTTACACGTCGGCCAGGGTCGAGCCTGTACACTCTGACCACTGCTTCTCCTCCAGGTGCTGAGTCTGGTAGGGTCACTTCGTCTGGTCAGGTGTTTGCTGCAGCGTCCAGGTCTGGTCCTGAGTCTGCCCCCTGCTCGTGCCGTCGTTTGTCTCACGAGACCCTCCTCTGGCACCACCGCCTTGGCCACCCCTCTCTGCTTCGGCTCAGAGGCATGGCCTCGCGAGTCCTTGTGTCTGGTCTTCCCCGGTCTCTCCCTCCCCTTCCTCCGGGCCCTGGCCCCACCTGTGTCCCCTGTGTCGAGGGGCGCCAGCGTGCTGCCCCTCACTCCTCCCAGTTTCCTCCGACAGAGGCCCCGTTGCAGACGCTTCACATGGATGTGTGGGGCCCAGCCCGCGTCCGTGGACAGGGTCAGGAGCGCTACTTCCTGCTGGTGGTTGACGACTACTCGCGTTACACCACAGTCTTCCCCTTGCGCAGCAAGGGTGAGGTCACTGCGGTGTTGATCGACTGGATCCGCGCAGCTCGTCTCCAGCTTCGGAGGAGCTTTGGCTCTGACTTCCCTGTTCTGCGTCTGCACTCGGACAGAGGCGGAGAGTTCTCCTCTGGCCTCCTGAGTGCCTACTGTCGTGCGCGAGGCATCCGTCAGACCTTCACGCTTCCGGACTCACCGCAGCAGAATGGGATTGCTGAGCGCCGCATTGGCATGGTCATGGACGTCGCTCGTACGTCCATGATGCATGCGGCTGCTCCCCATTTTCTGTGGCCGTTTGCGGTCAGGTACGCTGCGCACCAGATCAACCTCCACCCCAGGGTCTCTCGACCGGAGACCTCCCCAGCCCTGCTGTGGACGGGGAAGGTTGGCGATGCGTCGGCGTTCCGGGTCTGGGGATCTCGGGCGTTTGTTCGCGACCTGTCTGCGGACAAGCTATCCCCTCGTGCTTCTCCCTGCGTCTTCCTGGGGTTCCCCCCCGACGCCCCTGGGTGGCAGTTTTACCACCCCACCTCTCGACGTGTTCTGTCCTCCCAGGACGTCACGTT